ACCAGCTAAGGTCGTAAAATGTATGATAATACAATTATGAATTTATTAAAATTATTAATTATTAATAAATACAGTTAATACTGTTAAWAGGTTCCTAGATATTTTTTTCTCCCTTTTTTAATTAAATTGTCTAGCTGTTGTTAATTAATATTAACGATATTAAAAAAAGAAAAAATACATAGATCATGGATGAGATCATTTATCATTAAAAAAAATCTGCTATATATTTCAAATAATTTGAATATATACATAAATGCATCATTTTAACTACAGTTATATTCTGATTCAATTGTTATGAATTAAAATTAATCAAATTTAAATATTTTATCATACAGTTACTCGATTTACGGTTATACTTTTTAAGAGTAATAATTTAGAATAATTGTACCTGTGACCTGTATATAACAATTGTAGACACTAAAAYTAATAATCACATTTATAACTATGAGAAAGTATAATATGTATATGAATGCCATATGGAAATGACATGTAAAGATATTATATTTTAAATCGAAATCAAAACTGTTTTAGATTTAAAATAATACCTAGTCTATAGGTACTCTTATCAGTAAAAAATGATTAAAGTTTGTTAAAAATTCGGCAAATATATTGATAACAAATCTCATCAATCGAATCTGTTGTTTATAATTTAACTGTAGATAAGATTTTAGTAAGATGATATTGGTGGTTATATGTCTCGATGTTATGGAGATAAAAAAAAAACGTTTATATGATTTTAGTAATTTACGGCCTTAAATTTATCAGATAAACAAATATTTGCGAAAAATAAAATTAAACGAATAATAAAAATGATTTATATTGGATRCGGTCTGAATATGATGTTTCTAAAAAAACTACACAAAACAATATTAGGTAGCATATTATGAGCATGTCATATTGTACGCATGTTGCATATCTCATTCAATCTGGAAAATCTGTTAGAAAAGTGAGGTCTCTCTGATATGACCTCGTATTTGACACCATTAGATATAGGAAAATACAAAACTCTTCGTTTCCGGTTGTATTATTAAAAGTTGACGGAAATGGTTATACCGAATGATTAAAAAAATGATATTAATATAATACAAAACTGGGTTTCGACAAATAATATAGGTAGGTATTTTATTGTGTATATTTTGTATGTTAAGTTATTATTAGATTCAACATAACATATTCCTGAATAGTATTCAATATAATATTATACACAAAAAAAAATTGATTACAACATTTATGGTCATATTCCTGATTGTTGTATT